TCAAAGAAATCTTGCCAATGTACTGCATTCTTCATTTTGACACCTTGAAATGAATGACTAACAAATTCCTTTTTGAGAAAGAATCTTTAACTTTAACACAATAACATTAATAGACGGTCAAAGAAATAGTAAATTATACCCTATTAGGAGTCATAATTCTATGTAAAATTGCCACGACTGTAGCCTGGAATGAGTCCTTAATTTATATCCTTCAGTGTTCCCTAAATTTAAATAGCAATGCATCATTTTATTATGTACCCAATTTTAATCCTGGAGCATAATTTCAGAATGATGCAATGCTTCCTAAAGGGGTTTTAGACTGGTTCACTGTGGGATTATTGAAGCTGTGTGGTTAGCAGAATGAATAGATGCTTTTGAAGTGAGACAAACCCAATCTTGTTTTGTTAATTTACTAGCTGTTAACCTTGAGAAAATCCAGTTACCCATACAAGCCTCTATTTCTCTATATGGAAAATGGGCACACAAACACTTTGCAGAATTGGGTTTTGAGATAATGCATATAAAACAGGAGGCACTAGCCAGTGCTCATGGAATGATGTTGATGAATGACAAATCAACTTTGCTAATATAGATGAGATTTTCATTCATTTTAAAGGGTACTATGAAATCATAATCTTGAAGTATATGCAGTAAGGACATAGAGAAGAATGTGGCAGATGATTTGAATGTGTTTCCAATAACTTTGAGTTCCCAAAATTATAGGTGACTGTTCATCCTATCAAATGGAGAATCAAACCTAGTATATTGAAAATATTATTTACATTAAAATTAGGGCATAAAAATCATGTCTATGAGAACTCTTTGAAAAAATATTTAAGATTTTTCATTCAGCTGCATTATTTACTCAATATATTTAAAAAAGCTATGAATGCTAAAATAAGATAGAAATAACATAATATAAGAAATACAAAAATTTTATGATGGGCAAATTTCGCATTCATTTTTTTTCTGTATATTGAGTTTTGCATCTGGGAAATTATATCAACTGATTTCAGGTGACTTTTGCTGAATGAAAGTATTAAAGGGCTTTTTGCATGATATTTCCTATAACTTAAAAGGTAATACATGTACCTGGAGAAAATCTAGGAAATACCGAAAATCAATAGAAAAAAATATTCCACAATCTGACCACCAGTGGTGGCTTGAGAACTTTTATAAACAAGTTTGGGCTGAGCGTGGTGACTCACGCCTGTAATCCTAGGACTTTGGGAGGCCAAGATGGGAGGATCGCTTGAGCCCAGGAGTTCGAGGCCAGTCTGGGCAACATAATGACAACCCGTCTCTATTTAAAAAGAATTTTTTTAAAGAAGTTTGAAGAAAACAACTTAGTAGAAGGGCAGATGTGCTTATTCAGAAGCTGCCTTTCTTTGCTAGTTTAATAGGAAGGGCTTGAGGATATTGACGGAGATTATGAGGGGTCTAAAAGTCCTCCAACACCCCATGGTGTCCGTTGCCACTTCCCAAGGGAAATGAATGCTTAAAGTCAGAAGAGTCTAATTTCTGTTTATTACTCCCTTTCTCACCTTCTACAGAGCAGAGCTGAATAGTATTCTATTTTTGACAAGCCGAAAACAGAAACCTGACCCTTCCTTTATATACAAATGTTTATGGAGGATTAGATTAATAACACAATATAGTTCTTAGTTTTAAATCCCTATAGTTAATTACAGGAATTCTTATATAACCTGCTGTCGTAACTAATCCTGGGACACAATGTAAGGGCTTTGTCCTCTTGGAACACTGTTAATGTCAGAGGAAAACAGCCCTTTCCTTTATTCACTGGCTCTGATGTGTGTGTCCATTCTTCACCACAGTCATGTTACTTACTTTGAATCAAAGGTGTGGTGGATTATTCTATTGAGAATTCTAATTCTCCGGGTCTGGATTTTACACTGGCTTTTATGTTGTCCATTTAGGTGTGGTATATGGAGCCCTATGTATTGGAATGGCTGCGCTGGCATCACTTATGGGAGCTTTGTTGCAGGTGAGAGCTGACCCGTGGAGGTTTAAGTCATAAATCACTAAATCTTTTTTTAATGTTGATGTCACCATCCTTCCAGACTTCTCTCAATGTATATTGACACCTGGACATATCAAGTGGCAGAGATGACTATGCTTTTAAAATTTTTTTTTAAATTAAACTTTGTGTTTTGAGATAATTGTGGATTTACATGCAATTGTGAGATATAATACAGAGAGATCTCATATACTCTTTACTCAGTTTCTCTCAATGGTAACGTCTTGCAGTGGTAACATCTTGATAGTACAATATCAAACCCATATATTCTGTATACTAGCTCTTGGTCAGATGTGCTTTTCAAATTTTTTTTACACTGTAGTTTGTCTTTTTATCCTCATAACAGGGACTGTCAAAGTACAATTTTTTTTTTTTTTTTTTTTTTTAGTTTGGATAAAATCTAGTTTATCAATTTGTCTTTTCATGGATTGTGTTTCTGGTGTAGAGTCTAAGAACTTTACCTAGCCCCAGATCTTGAAGATTTTCTTCTGTTTCTTTTCAAAGAGTTTTAGAGTTTTACATTTTATATTTAAGCCTACAATCCCTTTGGAGTTAATTTTTGTATAAAATGTGAGACTTAGGTTGACATTCTTTTTTCCTCTATGAATGTTCAACCAGCACCTTTTGTTGAAAAGGCTATCTTTCTTCCATTGACCTGCCTTTACACGTTCGTAAAAAATCAATTAAGCATATTTGTATGGGTCTATTTCTGGATTCTCTGTTTTCTTTCACTTATTTATGTGTCTGTACTTCTGCCAATACCACACAGCTTTATAATTTGATCATTTTGATTACTGCAGCTTTAAAATAAGTTCAAGATCAGGTCGATTGATTCCTCTCACTGTATTCTTAGTTTTCAAAATTGTTTTAGCTATTCTAGTTCTTTTGCCTTTTCATATGAAGTCTAGGATAATCTTGGTCTGTATCTACAAAAAAAATCTTGCTTAAATATTGATTGCCTGAAAGCTATTTATTCATTTGAGAAGAAATGACATCTTTACTATGTTGAATTTTCTAAAACATGAACATGGTATGTCTCTTCATTTATTTAGCTTTTTATGCAAATCATATTTTTTATGTTGGTGTCTATGTGTTCAATGCTAATATGTAGAAATAAAATTAATGTGTTTATATTTATCTTCAATCTTGTGACCTTGTTGAGCTCACTTATTAGTTCTGAGAGTTTTTTGTTTCTTTGTTTTATGTTTTGGTTTGTTTTGGTGTATTCCTTGAGATATTCTACATAAACAATCATGTCATTTTCGAATAGGGCAGTTTTATTTCTTTCCTTCTGAACTGTATGTATGCCTTTTATTTCCTTATTGCACTGGCTTCAACTTCCACATCATGTTGAATAGAAGTAGTGAGAGTGGAAATCCTTACCCAGTTCTCCAATGTGAACAGGAAACTCTCTATTCCTATTTTTTTTTCTGAGAGTTTTCACCATAAATGGGTGTTGAATTTTTTCAAACACTTTTTCTGTCATCAATTTATATGATCATGTGATCTTCTTTAGCCTACTTACATGATGGATTACATTGATTGATTTTCTAAAGCAGAACCAGCCTTGCACACTGGGAATAAACCTTGTTTGGTCACAGTGTGTAGTTATTTTTATATATTGCTGAATTCTATGTGCTAATATTTTATTAAGAATTTTTACATCTATGTTCATGAAGAATATTGATCTGTAGTGGGGTGTGTGTGTGTGTGTGCATGTGAGTGTGTGTGTGTGTGTGTGAGTATACTGCCCTTGGTTTTGATAGCAGGGTTATACTAGCTTCATAAAATAAAATGAGAAGGATTCTGTTTTCTATTTTCTAGGAGAGATTGTCTAAAATTAGTGCCAATTATTCCTTAATTATTTGGTAGAATTCTCTAGGGAAAGCATCTGGGCCTGGATTTTTTTTTTTTTTTTTTAGTTTTAAAATTATGAATTTAATTTTCTTAATAGTTATAGAGGTATTCAAATTATCCCTTTCATATTCGATGAATTGTGACAATTTATGTTTTTGAGGAATTGTTCCATTTTATCTAAGTTTGCAAATTTATATATGTATAGTTGTTCACAGTATTTCTGTACTATCCTTTTGATATCTGCAGGACCTGTAGTGATAGACCCTGTTTCATTCCTAATATTGGTAATGTTTATCTTATTTTTTTTGGTCTTTCTACAGGTTTGTCAATTTCATTGATGTTTTCAAAGAACCAACTTCTTTTTTTTATTGATTTTTCTGTGTTGTTTTTCTGTTTTCATTCATTGATTTTTAACTTTTCTCTTTATGACTTCTTTTCTCCTTGCTTTGGGTTTTAATTTGCTATTCTCGAGGTGGGATCTTAGGTTATTGATTTAAATCTTCTCTTTTCTAATGTGTGCATTTATGCTGAACATTTCCTTCTTGGTGCTAGTTTACCTGTGTTCCACAACTTTTGACATCTTGTATGCTTGTTTACATTCAGCTGAATACATTTTTAAGTTTTCTTTGAGATATTCTTTTGGTTCATGGATTATTTAGAAGTATGTTACTTAGTTTGCAAGTATTCAAATATTTTCCTGTTATCTTTCTATTATTGATTTCTAGTTTGATGCCATTGTGATCAGAGAACACACTATGATTTCAGTTCTTTTAAGCTTGTTGAGGTCTGTTTTATAACCTAGGATATGGTATTTTGTCATATGTCCCATGGGCACTTGAAAAGAATGTGTATTCTTTTTTTATTATGTAGAGTGTTTCATAACTATCAATTAAATTCTGTTTGTTGATGGTTGCTGATTTTCTGTTTAGTTGTTTTATCAATTGTTGAGATAGGGGTGGTGAATTCTCCAAATATAATTGTATATTTGTCTATTTCCCTTTTAGTTCTATCAGTTTTTGCTTTGCTTCATGCATTGGGTCTTATTGAAGGATTAACTTTTTTGTTATTATGTAATGTCCCTATCTGTCTCTGAGAAATTTTTTTGCTGTGAAGTCTATTTATCTGATATTATTATAGTTACTTCTACTTTCCATTGATTAATGGTTGCATAATATATTTTTCTATTTTTTCACTTTGAACCGCCTATGCTGCTGTATTTGAAGTGAGTTTTTTTGTAGACAGCACATAGTTGAGTCTTTTTTAAAAATCCAACCTGTCAATCTCTGTCTTTTCATTGGTATACTTAGACCATTCACATTTTATATAATTATTGGTATGTTATGTTAAGGCTTAAGCATCATTTTTTGGTTTTCTGTTTGGTATTTCTGTTTTTTGTTTTCTGCCTTCCTGTGAGTTGCTCTAGGGTTCCTTCTTTCTACCATTTCCTTTCTGTTTAGAAAACTTCTTTTAGCCATTCTTTTAGTTTTCCTTCACCTGAGAATGTCTTGAGTTTCCCCTTTATCCCCAAAGGATATTTTTGTTGGGTGTATGATTCTGAGTTGTTAGTTTTTTCCCTCATGAGTTAAAATATTTTCCTACTTTCTTCTTGTCTCTATAATTTCTGATGATAAATATGCTACTATTCTAATTGTTTTCCCTTACAGGTAAGGAGTCATTTCTTTCTGGATGCTCTCAGGGTTTTTGTTTTGTTTTGTTTTGTTTCTTCTTTAGTTTTCAGAAGTTTAATTATGATGTATCTTGGTGTATATTTCTTTGTTTTGAGTTTTTGATGTGTCTTGGCATGTATTTCTTTCTTTTCTTTTCCTATTTTTTTAGGGTTACTCAGTTTCTTGAATCTTGAATCAGCTTCTTTCATAAGTCTGAAAGAGATTTATGTCTCTTGCCAAGTTTGAGAAGTTCAGACATTAATTCTTTGAGTACTTGTCCATCCCATCATCTTTCTCTTTTCCTCTGGGACTCTCATGACATGAATGTTAAAATTTTTTGTTATGGTTCTACAGATCCCTGAAGTTAATTTTATATTTCTTCATTTCATTTCTCTCTATTGTTCAGTTTGGGTTATTTCTGTTGCTCTGTCATTCAGTTCACTGATCTTTTTCTTGGTTCCCTCTATTTTGCTGTTGTGCCCATTCATTTAAATTTCTTATTTCAGTTATTGTATTTCTTCAGCGTAATAATTTCATTTGGTTCTTCCTAATATCTTCTTTTTTTAACTGAGATTTTTCTATGTATATTTTTTCCCTCTATTTTTTCATTAGTTTCAAGTGAGTTCTAATTGTTAAAGCATTTTTTAATCATGGCTGTTTCAAATTTTTTATCAAATAATTCTATTTCTGTAATCTCCGTATTGACATCTATAGATTGTCTTTTTATATTCAGTTAGAGATCTTCCTGGTTCTTTCTATGAAAAGTTAATTTCCACTGAAACCTGGGCATTTCAATATTATGTGATGAGACTTTGAATCTCACCTTCTGTTTTAGCTGGCTTTCTCTGACACTACTTCAGTAGCATAAGGGAGGGTGCTGCCTCATTACTGTCAGATGGAGGTAGAAGTCTAGAGGGAGGAGCTCCTTGTTATGCAGGATAGGGGTATGTAGTATACTATGAGACATATTGTGGCTGTAAGATTAATAATAGCGCATAAGGCCCGCTGAAATATCTTGTAGGACTGATATGACATGTCTCATGGGAATTTACAACCCTGGCTCAGGGATTTCCAGGAAACAAAGCCACCTCAGCACAGATACAGCTTTCATAAACCTTAGAACAAAGCTTACTTTTAAAATAATGGCTTAAATACCTTTTATGAAAGAAATACTTGGTAACTAACCTGGACGAAATACAGGTATAAGAAAGGGAGAAGGACTCCCCCAAGGTCTGACAATGGTCTCTGGATGAAGACTCTCTGGTCAGTTCATGATCTGACTCCCTGACTGTATCTGGCCCATGACAACAGCTTATTCTCACTATCCATCTTCTAAGAGTGCTGCCAGAATAAACCAATTGAGCATTAGATGGTGCCTAAGACTCATCTTTGATGTGAAGTGAACAGAAGAGGAGACATTGTCCCTGGGAAAGCTGGTTAACT